TGCAGATAAATTTTGATCGGATCCAGTTTCAAAATCCTGAAAAAACACAAATCCATTCAAATTCACCAGAAACAGATTAATAAATAACGTAAAATGGCTGAAGTCCAACGAGAAATGAGCCCACAAACAAGCTTATCAGCTATTAGACCAAACACAATTCACTCTTCTAACGGATAGTAGAGTAAGAAGATTGGAATTGGATGTCATATATAAGACATTTCACGATGCAGTCTCTGTGTTTCATCCCTTAGCTGTAAATGCACACATAGAATGCACGATAAGATCGTGGGCAACAATCCCTGAGGGAATACTTCCGAGAAGAAGAGTTTTCGACTTGACTGGACAACAGAAGAAATCGTTCTAGTCGAGACACACACAGACACACACACAAAAACACATACACAAACACATGCACACACACACACACACACACACATGAACACACACACATATATCCTAACTACATCCTAACTCAACACCACGACTGGACCTCGTCTGTATGACGGTTGCAGTATGATTAATGGAAAAGGAAAAGAGAAGGACGACAGAAAAGAGCACATCTTTAACGCATGCCATTTTTGCCAGCTATAACAATGGTTCATTTGTAAAACGCTTTTTAAACATCGCTACAGCTCACCAGCACTTTCATGATTTCTGGGGAAGAGCCATAAGTTTCAATGAAAGTAACTAACATCAACAGCTTTCAGCGAAATAATTCGCCGATCTCTGACCACATGAAAATCCCTCAAACTTTCGCCCAGTGTCCTCAGTGAGTGCAGTGATGTTGGTATACAGTCTGCATGATGTGCTGGATAGAGATCACCACAGATTATACCATTTTCGGCTTTTAGTTCGGCTCTTGCTGGTACCGATGATGATTGTCCGGATGTTGCAGCTAAAAAAAAATCGAAAAGTTCAAAAAATACATTAATTTTTTTCGGCTTTTTGGAAAAAATAACAAACATATAAGCAAATCAAAGGGAACTCAATTTAAATGCATCTGTTTTATTAGTTAAGGAAGAAATCGTGTACCGACTAGGCCTCGAAAACAAGACGAAACAAGAAAGAATTCACTTGTAAGCAAAAATATGCGATGCGTGCGCGAGAAATTTTTGATAATATTTTAATTTTTGAACACTTTTTTTAATTTCGATAATCAATTTTTTTCTAAAAAAAGAACATTTTGGCAAAAATATTCCTAAAAAAAATCATATGTTATCGAAAGCTAGACTTACCGATATTTTTCTCCTCTTTTCGGCAGAAATAATCACAACTGGTGCATTGATAAAACGCGTGCATGTTGCCGACCACTGATCTGCTTGTTAAGTGATAAATTCGCACCGTTTCACCGTCAGGCTGAGCCACAATCAATGGGGCAGTACCGTCACCGGATAAAGCATCTCCGATAGCGCAAACACCAAAAATCCTCAAAATTAATCATTTTACTAAGCTCTGTCGTGTCAAACACGAAAAGTGATAGACAAACTTTATTCTAGAAAATTTCATTTCATATTTTTGTGTGTGGATATAAAAAATCTGCGAAAGCGGATTATGTTGATCATTTGATTTACGCTTATGATCAAATTAACTGCGCTCCAAGCAAAGAGACAAACTTCTTATTTTAACATCAAATTCAAAAACACAACGTTCACGTAACTTAATAATACACATATCGATTCCAAAGCACAACCACTCCAAAGAATATTGCCTTCGTTGGCCCCTCCTGACGATCGCCAGCAATCTTCTTATTCCCGCAAAATTCACCTTTTGACTTCGTAGTCTTCCAGTAGCCGTCGCACTCCAGCACCCCTTCTTTTGGAATAACCACTTATTCTACCCCAAAATCCTTTTCCCTTCCTGTGATCCCCTTTCACATATTTTTTATACACGCACAAAAGAACAAAATACAACATTCTAAAACAAATTTTATCTATCACTTCTCGTGCTTTGGCACAACAGATCACGAGAAGGGAAAAGGAGCAAGGACCTCTGTGACAGGACAATCCTTTATTCCTAAAAAAAGAGGCGCTAAGGTACGGCGGACCGGGAGAAAGCTGCGACTTCGAAAGGCGGATTGAGCGGGGGGAAGAAGATTACGTGCGGACTTCCGGATCTTCGGGATCTGCAAGATCCGTTGGAATTCTCAGATTCTGGTATTTATACGTATATCGTTGAATTACGTTAACTTGCGTTCTTGGATTTGGTGTATTAAAATAAGAAACTGAGCTTCCCCTTGCTTCAAGCACAGCTATTTGATCATAGGCCCAAATCAAATGATCAACAAGCTGTACTTCAAAATGATCAAAATCAATGAAACATCCCTGTGGAAAAAGCAATTCGGCAGGTATAACAGCAAAAAAAAAACATAAGGATGAAAAAATACCGCAAAAAAACCCGAAATCAACAAAAATTAGCAAAAATTCATACTTATTATCGTAGGAAGTTTCTGCTGCCTCACTGTTTGTATCGTTGTTTCGACTGATGAATCTGAAAAACAAGCATAGGTAGCGGAAAAAGATATTTTTGGCATATTTGGCATATTCGATTTTTCGAATTATTTGGCCTAAAATTTGGCAATACCAACAATAAATGCTTTGCTTCAATGCGTAGCCCACAATGGTATGAAAGTAATTCTATTATGCAAGAGCGAAAAAAAAAGATTCAAATTTTCTTTCAAAAAAAAAAAAAAAGAATTATGTAAAATTTTGACCGTAACGGTAGTGACCAAATCGCACAGAGGCGATGCTGATTTGGGAAAACCTGTCAGGAAATATCTGTCACAATCAAAAAATCTCCAGGTAGAACATTTGCAGCCTACGTGGTATAATGCCGCTATAATGGACCAAAATCAAATATGAAAAATTTCTCCAAAATTCGTTCTCTGCAAGAGGCAAACGGGTCTGGAAGTAGTAACCTACGGCACTTGCCAACAGTACCTATTAAAGGTTGAAGAGAAAATATTAAGAAGGAAAGAAAACAAAGAAAACGAGGAAAAGGGTAGTAAGATGGGAAAGGAGACTGAAGAAATACTTGTAAATAGGTAAGAACTGCTTCAGTCCATTAAGTCGTATACATTTCTTACCGTTACCACAAACCATTGCACAGCTCTGCTGTTATTCCCCTTTTTCGATGACTACTTATAAATACATCAGACCTGAATCCCCCTCCCATCTTGTCCTCTAACATATGACAGTACCAATTTACAATCGAAAAACCAGTAACAATTTTATCATCGGAACGAATGAACGAACTGTTTTGGGGGATTAGCTGGGCTCAACTTTGGGGATTAGCTGTGCTTTTGGGGTATTAGCTATCCATTACTGGGCTTGAAATTTCGATTTTTTTTCAAGGACAACAACTCGAACTTTTACTGTACCATGTATTGTTATCGGTATTTTACAAAAATTTATTTCTGAAACCAAAGCTCCGCTAATCCCAATCCCCGGCTGACGAGGTCCAGTCGCAGTGTTGAGTTAAGACGTATATGAATTAATGGACCGAAATTTCTTATCTCACTCTCTCCATCAATCTAAACCTTTATCATCTGCACTGTCAGGATTGATCTGGAGGCTGCAATCTGCTTAACAGAAAGCATGATTTTCTACCTTAGTAAATGTTCATTATTCCATAACCGGTTTCTGCCAATGCGTGTGTTGTACGATTTCGCTCTTTCCTGCCTATTAGATGGCACCGTCGTAAAATTTTCACTTGTGAGATCGTTGTTTTTCTTCGAAGATATCACTTCTTCCTACAATAAAGCACACTCAAAAGCACTGCAAACTCCAAATACGGTCACTTCAATCACATGAAAAGAAGCATACTTTCCGTTGACCACTACAACAGACTTATAACACAGTTCCACAAGACAGTCTCATTGCTCACTCGATTACACGCAGACTATGTGGCTCGCCTACCCGGAGGCTGAGTTTGAAATCTTTGAGTTCTACGTGAACGGGGAGCATTCCCTCAAAATTTCAGCTTTCCAGCTTTTCTGGTTCCCAAGCTAGTGAGCCAAGCACCCTTATCTTGGAGCAGAGCTATCAACAAACTAGATATTTTCTTGGCATGGAAGTAGCTTCATACATTTCCAGAAGACGGTCAGAGCATTTTTGTTTGGCTATGCCTGTCAGCACAGACCACTAACAGCTTAATTAATAGGAAATAACGCAATAAAGGTTGTAAGGCTATGCATAAAATGTGATAATTCGGACAAAAGCTGAAAGAGGATCTCGAAAACTATAACTGTGAACGAACTGTAGCGGCGATTCAAAAGAAAACGAAGCTTGGAGCTATGTGAAAAGGAAATATTTTACCATTTTACAATGGTGGTTTCTAAGAATGAAACCGTGTTCACGATTATTTCTAACCCAATAACAACACTCTCTGAATAACAGTTATCAGTGAAGCAAGCTGGAAAAAATTCCGAAGTAATTACAGCATCACAGACTATGCTTATATCCTTTTTTTCCGTGACCGATAAAAAAAGAATATAACACTTCTTAAGCAGCATCCTTAAGCATTCACCAGCATTCAGCCAAATATTTTGCTACTCGGCTATCCAAAGAGCCAGGCCGTTAATCTAGAATACGCTCAATACTCGCTCCTACCGAAAAAAAATGTATTTTGCTTCTGGTACCACGTATGAACGTGTCGATGGATCGAAGGAAGCAATGTGGGTGCTAGGCTGAGCCAAAGACAAAAGTCCCCTTTCCCATCTTACTACCCTTTTCTTCGTTTTCTTTGTTTTCTTTCCTTCTTGATATTTTCTCTTCAACCTTTAACACTTTATTGTATGAGACACTGAACAGAATGGGTAATCGGTCCGATCTTTGATGGGAGCATCGCTTTTCCCGTCGTTCAGCTGGAATGTCATCGAAAGGTGGCTCAGCTTTTTATTTTTTTGTTTTATAATTGCGATTGGAGAGGCAAAAGCTTCGCCTTTATATTAAGGGTCCTTGTTACTCCTTGCATCTTAGTGTTTACATAAAATAGCTAAACAACCAACGATTTTTTGTGCGGCTGTTGCTGAAAATGTGCTTGTGGTTTTCTGTTTCGTGCGAGACGACCGTGCTGGTGTTTCGTCGATGTACTGGACTGCTTTGGCCACTGGCCGACAATCAGGATGATGTTCAGGATAAGCATTCCCAACCAACTCCCCGTGCACCACTTTCACAGTGGGCGAGAAACGTTTTTCGCTACTACCACCGCCTGTAATTATTCCAAGCGCTCATGATCACTTTTCTGCACCACTACAACTATCAATGCGCATGGCTTTTTAGCCCAAAAACTACAAAGAGTTGAGAAAGGGCCGAAACGAGAAACAATTTTTGCACAGCTCTAAAAGCATCTCTTAACGAGAGTGTCGTCATGAACGGAGCCCTTTCTCTAAAACTGTTCTGGCCTGGGACGGGATCGAACCATTCCTTTTCAATTTCGGACGCAGTGCGTTACCACTACACCACCGGTCCTTGTGCTCCAAATTCAGCCTGACAGCACATCTCCTGTGTATATGCTTTTCAAGGTAAGATACCCCTTCCCTTTGCGGCGGCTTCTTGGTCGGCTTTTCAAGGGTTTTCCATGACAGACGTGGCAGGCCTCTTTGTTGGACTAGACCTCGAATGCTGATGCAATATTCAACATCTAAGAACTCTACGGTTGTAACAGGATGACAGTCTAACCCAAATTCACAATGGCTCATTGA